AAAAAAATGTGAGAACTCAATTTAAAAATCTCATAAAGTGCAAAAAAAAAAAAAAATTATGAGTGCTCATGGGGGAGCATTATAGTAAAATGTATGAATATTGAAAATAAATAGAAATCTCTCAAAGAGTCTAAATGGTAAAAGCAGATCAACAGTAATCATGGAAGCATGAATAATATTTTCAAGGTGCAGAAGAACATTGACCATGGAATTTTCTACCTAGCTAATTGATTTTTTTAAGGTCAAGAGTGCAATAGAACTATTATTAATAGACATGCAAGGCCTCAGACAGTTTACCACAAAAAGACCTTCTTTGAAAATAGCATTGGATGAAGTACTCTGCTAACAAAAATATATTACCAGGAAAATGCTATGAGATAATGGGAAATGAGGGTAGGTAAATAAGTTAGAAAATTTTATTCTTGTTTAAGGAAATAAGAACTGAAAAATAAATAAAGAGTACATCCATAATATCTCAAAACTAAAGTTTTAGGCAATACCAATATGTTGTGTATGAAGAAATACCAAGGAAAGATAGGTGTGAATGGTCTAAGGAAATTGTCTTATTAGGAGAAAATAAAGAGATATTGACAAATTTAAGAAAGTTTGAGAAAAAGATAAATGTATGGAGTCCAGCTGACTTTATGAGACTAATTTAGCATTGTTTCCTGCTAAAGGGGAAGGGAGGCCACATCTTCTGACCCCCTCTAACCCCACAAGAGGAAGACAGAATCACCATCAATAGCCCAAGGCCTATTCCTGAGAGGCCAGACATGCTGCCTCCCTCCAGCCCTTTCATCAACCCTGACACCAACTGTTCCTCCTGCAGCACCCACCACCTTTCTGCTCAGGGTTCCATAATTCACTGCAGTAGCCACACAGAACTCACAGATTATGGGGTTTAATAGGGAAGCAACAACACTTAGTCTCTCTCAGCCCTCCTTCTCTCAGCCAACAGTCTCTCTCCCAGCAGTGTGTGCCTCTCAGTGTCTCTCTCAGCAATGCAAGTCTCTTGCATCTCTTTCCCAGCAGCTTGTGTCTCTCAGGAGTTGCGTTTCTCTCA